ATCTGACACATTCTGAAAACAAGATTATTATTCTTACACAATCAGTTCTTGTTTAGTAAATKAGTCTCAAAACAAGATCAAAGAGACTTTTTGGCTGATATAAGATTTAAAATCTTAGTTAGGTGGACAGTTTTTTTGCAGTGTGACCATATTAAAATGGGTTGTGTGTTTTTGTACTCTCGTGGTTCGATGACACTTTATTTTAGAAGCTGGTAAAGAGCAGCTGATTTATCTGAAGTCCTGAAACTGAAGTGTCTGTTTGACAAACTGAGCAGAACCAGCTGTGCTTCATCCTGATGTTGAAGATCCTCCAAGATGTTTGAATGAAATGTAGAGAAGATTCAACTCTGGGTCCAAAATAAATAAATAAATAAACATTTCTAGCAGAGAGATATAAAAACGGGAAAAGTCGGGCTGTATGTTGTTTTTTTCAGGAATCTTTCATACAAAAAGTTGTTTCATTTGATGATTATTTTATCTGGATAAAGACTCAAAGCTGTGAGTTCTGATGAGCGCTCCACAGAAAGGGTTTCTGTCAAACATACTTTCACTCTCATCTCCAATAAATCATCTTTGATATTTGACATCAGGAAGGAAACATTTCCAGATCAATTTGATGATCTTTTTCTTTCTCGGGTGATTAAAATCAAGTTTTTCACTACAGTTTTCTTTTACGATCTCTGATTTATGATGTTTTCTTGTAAATCATCTATTTATTTTTAACACCAGCTTTATTTTGGTGACTGATGGAATTAAACAGCTTGTGTATTTAAAGAATAAAATTACTTTTATGTAAAATTGTCTCGTGGTCTTTACTTAAACCTGAATGTTTGTACAAAGCTGCTGCTTATCTATAGAAAAAGTAAGACCATTTAATTTTATTGCTTTTGTCTTTAAAATCTATCTTTGAATCAATTTTAACTTGTGACTGACGGATAAAAAATACTCATGTCAAAGTTTTGAGTTTTACACAGAACAGACACCCAGAATGATGAAGTAAATAAGAGTTTTAATGTAAACAAGTTTGTCCT